TGCACTCCAGCCTAGCAACAGAGTGAAACTCTAAAAAAAAAAAAAAAAAAAAAAAAAAAAAAATTATCAGCCCTGGATAAACCAGAATAAACTAGGAGAAGTTGGTAACCCTCTCAATGTTATGTGACGTACTTAATTCTCTCAAAGAAAAGTAAAAAGCAGGCATTATTTCCTTCATTTTTCAGATAATAGAACTGAAACTCAAATGTCAAAGCAACATGTCTTGTTGCAACTAACTGGTAGCAAAGGCTTGCTCCATGCCCAGGTCTATCTGGCCCCAAAACTTGTGCTCTGAACATTTCCATTGTGCAGGCTTATGATATACAGATTTAAGAAATGGCCCTATTGTAATTGGGTTACAATTACATATATCTGTGGCTGTTACAGGAATGACTACTTTGTAGCCTCTTAAATAGGCTTGGAAATCCAACTACTGGATTTTTGCTTAGATTTTTAAGCTTAGAAGTACAGACAAATAGAGAGCTTTGTATCATCTGTGTATCACCTTTAATACACTTTTGTGAAATCTTACCAACAGTCTTTTCTAAAGAAAAGCATTTCTGCAGTTTGGAACATTTCCATTTCCATTCTGGAAAGCCCTCTTACCTCCCACCAATTTGAAGGGAATTCTACTGTCAATTTGGCTCACTTTAAAGAAACCCCTGCATTGTATTCCATGCCCCAGTCCTCAAAGCTGTGTAGTGACACCAGAGATGGAAGTCAGATGGAACTGGTCTCATAATCATCACGGTTTTCTTTAGGAAACAGAATCACTGTTTTCCTTCACAACGCTTTGTGTGTGTGTGCATACATGCGTGTGCATCTGTGTGCGTGTGTGTGTGTGTGTGGGTGTGTGTGTTTAGCAGGCATGGGATAGTGCAATGTGAACTCGGAAAATGAAATAACTACTGTAGATGAAAACAGTCAAACTCTGTAAAACATTTGAAGAGATTTATTCTGAGCCAAATATGAGTGACCATGGCCCACGACACAACCCTCTGGAGGTCCCAAGAACATGTGCCCAAGGTGGGCAGGGCACAGCTTGGTTTTGTATATTTTAGGGAGGCATGAGGCATCAATCAAATACATTTAAGAAATACATTGGTTTGGTTCAGAAAGGCAGGACAACTTAAAGCAGAGTGGGCGGACAGGGGGCGAGGGCTTCCAGGCTATAGGTAAATTTAAACATTTTCTGGTAGACAATTGGTTGCGTTTATCTGAAGATCTAGGATCAATAGAAAGGAAATGTTCAGGTTAAGATAAAGGATTGTGGAGACCAAGTTTTGTTGTGCAGAGGAAGCTCTCAGATAGCAGACTTCAGGGAGAGCAGGTTGTAAAATGTTTCTTATCCTACCTAAAAGGGCACCTAGCACTTAGTTGATTATCGCCTGGGTCTGGAAAGGAAGGAAGGAAGACAAAAGGAAGGGGAAAGGGGATTCTCTACAGAATGTGGAGTTTTCCCCCAAGGGATGGCTTTGCAGGACCATTTCAAAATATGACAGAAAAACATTTTGGGGTAAAATATTTTTATTTTCTTCCTTGTTATGCCAGAGTCAGATTGAAAAGTAAGTCACGATATACAGGGTTAAATAAAACCCATCTGACGAGAGTTTATGGTTTGTAGGGCATGACTCTCCAGACCCCTAAGGAATTTGGGCAAGATTTTTAAAAATCAGAGCTTAGTCCTCACTACTCTTAGAAAGAATGCTTTAAAGGACAGGAGGAGTTACAGACAACAAGAAATGCTTAGTTTCAAGGTTGTGTGATTTTATCAGTTCTCTGCTTTTGGGGAAAAATAAGCCCATAAAAGTCTTTGCTAGCCCTGGTGCCAGTTCAGGCTCAGAAAACCTGAGTGTAAGACTGAGCCCTAAACAGTATTGCCTACTGGTTGTTAAAGCAAGGGTACACTGACAAGTGTAGTGCATTCATTCATTCATTCATTCATTTATTTGAACAAAGTTAAACTGAGAGCTTGTGATGTCTCAGAGCTGTGCTAGGCACTAGGAACACACAGAGGAAAGCAGTGACGTCCTATCTCATGAAATCAATAGATAAGACTAAAATTATGTAGAGTCAAAATTATCCTTAAATGTTTCTCAAATCACCCATAAAGTGTTGTCTTTGGTTAGGTTCCCTAGAAGCAGAACCTGAGATAAGGATGCAAGTAATTGAAAGGATGAAAGTAATTGAAAAAGTACTCTCAGGTGAAACCTGCATGGTAGTAGAGGAAGCAGGGCAGGGCAGAGGATCAGATTCAGCAAATGTGTGAGTTCAGTCAGCTGAACAGCTATAGTCTAGCCTCAGCCTGACTACAAGGAGCCGTGGGGCACACAAAGCACCATGGATTTGTACCCCCAAAAGACAAAAAGGGCAGCCTTTTGTATCCTAACAATCAGGCATGGGATATGGGCCTCTCCAGGACATGGGCCTGTTTGGCATTCCTGGAGGAGGTGGCTCCAATCGGATGTGGGCAGTTCTCAAAAGAAGAGTGTGCTGTGAGCAGTTAGCAGCCAACAGTCACAGCAGCTGGGAGGGATGCTCTGGCAGAGTAAAGGGAATCTGGAGAGGGATGTCGCCATCAGCTACACAAGGACACAGGATTTATGTGACATGTTAGAAACATACATATCATTTGTTAATAAATACAACAGAACAATAGATTTTTCCCCATCAGTGCAATAGTTCACCATTTATTTGGATGCACTACAGAGGAAGTAGTTTGCTTGTGTTCAGGGGCCATGTTGTATGAAAAATGTGCGTCTCTCAACACCCAGCACAAGGAGATGCTCATGCCTGGAAGGGTGTTCCCACAGGATCTGAGGCAGACTATGTTCCCAGGAGGCAGACCCAGATGTCATCACACAGGATGTTAGGAAGTGCCCTTGAGGCCAACACCTGTGGAAAGGGGCAATGGAAGCAGGAGTGAGTTAAGGGAGAAGTCCAGCCACCCCTGCCCAGTGCAGCTAAATGGCCTGTGGGAGCTGACCTGTTTAGGGCCCAAATGGTCACACCTTTATGCCCTTCCATTTACCTGCATATTGGGCCATCTTGGGAAGGGCATGAACTTGAGTGAGGTGGCTCTCTGCAGCTGATGCTGTCCCCTCAAGGGACAACTGGAGGCTACTTGCTGACTGTTCTCCCTGCAGCGAGGCAGCAGGTCCTTTCTGGAATGGGGCTGGGCAGCAAATAACTGTGTCCATCCACTAGTGGAGGCAACTCACAGGCTCACTCGTATTCACCCCCAGCACACAATCACAAGAATAGGCACAAGACTGCCCCTCACCAAAGTTGTTTTCTCATTGGGGGGGATGGAAAGTCAGGGACTGGACACACATACTTAAAGAACCTACAATTTAATTAATGCTTTAATGTTTAATATTAATTCAGAACTTTTGTCACTGGTTTATCCTTAGTTAGAAGTGGATAGTCTATCCTACTTTTTAAGGTTATTTTTTTCCCATTTTCATTTAGTGACAGGCATTGTACTAAGTACCTTACATGCATTACCTTATTTAATCCATACAAAAATCTTATGAGAGAGAGAATATTATTATTTCCAATTTTATAGATAAGGGTTAGAGAGGTTAGAAAAAACTTGCCCATAGTGAAATCATATAGCCAGTATTTGAACCAAAGTCTCTGACTCCAAAGCTCAAACTCTTAACCACTCTACTAAAGCCAACTATGAAAACTTTCACATTACCCTTTGATGGACCGTAGCTCATTCACTCATTCACTCATTCACTCAGCAATGGTTCTTTTTTTTTTTTTTTGAGACAGAGTCTCACTCTGTTGTCCAGGCTGGAGTGCAGTGGTGCGATCTCGGCTCACTACAAGCTCCACCTTCCGGGTTCACGTAATTCTTCTGCCTCAGCCTCCCAAGTAGCTGGGACTACAGGCACCTGCCACCACGCCCAGCTAATTTTTGTATTTTTAGCAGAGACAGGGTTTCACTGTATTAGCCAGGATGGTCTCGACCTCCTGACCTCGTGATCCACCTGCCTCAGCCTCCTGAAGTGCTGAGATTACAGGCGTGAGCCACCACGCCCGGCCACTCAACAATGTTTTAATGAACATGCCCTATTCCAGGCTCTGTGCTGTGTTGGTATTAAAGATTCAACAAAGAAACCTCTGATAGGAAGCATATGTGCCTGCGTTCTTGTGGGTCATCCTTCCTCACTCTGTGTGTGTGTGAGTGTGTGTGTGTATTTGTGATAATCTCAAGAGATTAATGCAAATTGTGAGGACCTTCACATATTTCTGTGAAAGGAAAATAAAAATCTCAGGACTCCAAACTCACTATGCCAAAGGGAAAAGTTAAGCTTAGGAGTTAAGTTACCCAAAACTGCCTTCCATTTTGTTCCTAAATAGATAACTGCAAAGACAGAAGGCCACGTACCTTTCTAGGGGACAACCTCACAATTTCTCACAAAGAAATTCCTTGTGGGCCCTAAGGTCTTTACCCTAAAACAGATTTCTGTTGGATTTCACCCCATGTAAATTAACAGCTTATCTTCACAGGTGTGGGACAAAGACAGGACTAGGAGTCATCCTTCTGCTCACTTGAGACAAATGCACATTTTACTCATTAACTATTCTATGTTTCTTTTATGTTGTGTAAAAATGCAAGTTCATTGAGCATGAGATGAATGCATATTTGACTGTTTCTCTATCCCTTCCTCTCACATATAAAATGTAGATTCAGTGAATGCTCATCAAAGCTTCAAAAGAATGTAACTGTTTTCCCCTTTTCTCTACCCTCCCTTTTCCTTTCCTCTTTCCCCTACTGCCGACTCTTTCCCCCTTAAATATTGAAGTCCTCAAACCCTCTTTGGGAGTTTTCTCACAGATCACAAATGTTCCTGTGATTTGTGTTCCTTTTTCCCAGGCACACTCTCAACTGGGGCAAAATAAACCTCTAAATTGATTGAGACTTGCCTCAGTCATTTTCTTTGGTTTACATTTCCTAGTAACTCAATTCACTGTTTTCAACTTAACAGGCTAAAAGAGATGCTAAGAGAATGTCTGCAAAAGAAGTCACCATTAATGTAACAGACAGCATCCAACAGATGGACAGAAGTCGAAGAATCACAAAGAACTGTGTCAACTAGCAGAGAGTCCAAGCAGAAGGGTAGATGGACTTCTTCTGTGTCCTTCAAGGCACTGGATACCATCAAAGAACCTTGAAGAAGTGGCTGCCCCTTGCTGGACCTGAATGCTACTGAGTCCCTGGCAAGACTGTCTTACCTGGCAGCAAACTGCTGCCTGATTTGTTGGGACCCTTCTGAGCCTTCTACTTATCATGTAAATGTATTGGCATAGTGCTTACATATGTTAATAAACTGCAAATGTGCAGTTCAGTTTGTCTCTTTGCAACTCCTATAATAGGGTCTGGTGTAAAAGTAGTGAGTTAAAACTACAGGTCAGTTTATGAAACAGAAAAGTAGGAATGCATTTCCTGGGTGAAAGAGTCACACCTTAGTACTAAACTCTCCTGACCATTATAGTGTGTTCTGTTTCAGGCAAGCTTATTCTTTCCTTCTTTCATTTTAAATATTATCATTACAAATCTTACCAGGGTCACTTAAAAGCTGGCTTCCATCCAACTCTAAACCCACATATTGAAAAAATCAAGGTAGAGAAAAACTCCTTGTTATCCTTGTTTCCTTAGCTTCGTATGAGACAGATCAGATCCAGTTTCCCATGGATCAACCCACTGCCCATAGCATGTCTTTGGGAGGTGTCTGTGAAGCAGTCATACCTGCTCCTCATCTGCCTGGAAAGTCCTCCTATTCTGATGTCCACGTTGGCCTCCAGTCCTTAATGTCACCATGCTTGTGGCCAATGCATCCAAATAAGGATACCCCTCAGGGCTCAGCCAGACATTGCAATTTTACATAGCTTTCCAGTTCCCTTTGCTTATCTTCTTAACTGTCTTCCCTCTCTATTGGGGTCATTTGCAATTGTTAATCAAAGATTGAACACTGCGTAGGAGAAGGAGATGATCCAGAGACATGTGGCAGCATGCATGGCTTCACCTTGGTCTCTCTGTTCACCACCCCAGGACTGTCATTTTGGCATCTACAAAGGAATCACTTTAGAAAGCCAGCACCTGGTTGATGTGTATTCACACTGACATTAGATTGATGTGCACTGCATTAGAAATGAGGTAGCTGACACAGAAAAAGGATGTTTTGATAGGAATAATTTTCTAGTATGTCTTGAAACGTTCATCTGGATGTATTTTCCTCCAAACTAATGTAGCAGGATTTTTCAAGGATTGTTAACATGCCTGGGATTGGGAAAGATAGGACTAAAGTTGTACCAAACTGTACCAATAAATTCCATGTTTAGAAATAGGCAGCCTAATGATGTTATGTTTATATAACATAGTCCGGAGAACTGACATGCAGGTCAAAAGTCAGATACACAACCTCCTTATCTGCTAACTCTGTTATTCTTCAAACACAAGTGGGTAGTGTCATTTTTCCTTCCTTCCTTTCATTGGCAGATTGCATATTTATTCAATAAACATTAAATGTCCATCCTGTGCCAGGTACTGTGCAGATGTTGAGGGATTTGGAGTCTGGTTAGTCATTACTGTCTATCCTGAATCTAACAGTGACTTCATAACTAGGAGACTGAATTAGACCCTTAAGGTATAGTGTGTGTTGCAAATCACTCAGCAATGGAATCTTTTATATTCAGGGTAGGTTTGTGTCTTAAACTAGGTGTTCTAATCACTGTACAAGACTTTACCATACACAAAACTATAGTTTTTCTAAACCTTTATCATTTTGTGATTCTTTGAGAAAGGGCTTTTAGGAACTTTATGTTCTAAAAAAATTGTCTTAATAATAATAAAATAAAAGCAAAACCTGTGACTCATATGTCCCCACTGACATTACTCAGCAGGAGCCCCCAGCTGCCAAAGGTTGGCAGTGATCCTGCGAGTTCAAGGGCTCTTTCTCCCTGGGGATGTGCTTTGTGGCTTCTCTTTACAGCTTTGTTTCTGCATCAGTTCACTGCTGCATGTCGTTTGGAATTTATCACCGTAAGAAAGTGTCTCTGTTTTATATAGAAACACTTTCTCACTTCCAGGGGAGAAGGAAACGCAGGGCATATGATCCGGCCCTCCCCAGAACAATCTGGATTTCATGGAGACAGCAACCAGAAGTTAAACTGTGTGACTAAAAATGCATCTGGCTACTTTTTCACGTGTGTATGAGACAGGAACTAATCCTTACTATCCTTTTAGGATAACACTTTTCATGGCAAAGTTTGTGTCAATAAAGTCATTAATTTTAAACATATTTGGGCAGTTACAGAGAATCTTTACTGGAACCTTAAATTTGTATGCAGAGCTATTTAGACTTTTTTTTTTTTAAATGAAGACCTTTTACACAAGTGATCCCTGTGAATCCTCCAAAAAGCCTTGTGAAGTAGGTAAGGAGAATGCTATTAGCACCAATTTACACTTATAGAAATATTTATAGTCTAGTCAACTAGTAAGTTTTGGTGTAGAGATTCAAGTGGGGGAAGACTGTCTGCAAATTCAGTTCTTTTCCTACCACCACACGGTGCCACCATGTCTAAAAGGTCTGGTGTAACCGGGAGATGAGGCCATTTAGAGGGGAATTGTCATGGAGCCTTGGGCTGGGCTGAGCCCAAGTCTAAGAGGACAATTTGGGTGATTGGAGGGGGCTAGAGAGAGAGAATTGAAGAGGGCTGGTAGTGAAGGCAGTGACTGGAAAGGGCCAGTGAGTTCTCAGGGAGTTTGGGTCTGGTCCAGGCTCACTTATCCCTCCAGAGAGGGTGACCTTGACCTGGTGTGAGAGGTCAGGATACTGAGAGGGACTTTATAGTTCAGAGAACATAGAAATTGCACTCCTTGGAATAACTGCTTAGACCTAAAGGTAAGGGAAGCCAGGGACTGCCCATGCTGCTGCCAACGTCCTGAGCACAGCTTAGATGTACAGGTAACAGACAGTAGCCCCTCAGACTTTATTCATGGCCCACCTTCACAGTGCTTTCCACAACCCACCCCCACCTCCCAGGGTACCTGAACACACTCCCGTTTGCACTGCCTGTCTGAGTCCTGCTAACCTGCATCTGTTTTTGATCCTCACCAGCCAGACTTGCAGGCTGCCCCATGTGACACTGAAATGCCTCCCATTCACGTTTGCTGCTCTAAGCAGGGTTTACGATACTGGCAGCTCCTTTGCTGAAATCAGGTAACAGAGCTGCTGTTTTTAGCTGTCATGGTGTCAAAACTTAGGAATTTCACATAAATAACCAGCTCTGGCAGAGACTCCTACTTTAGAACTCCAGTATCCATCCTTCCCTTCTTCCTTAGTTTAGCACATGTCCACTTAGAACAAACATTACACTTTCCAGCCTCCCTTGCAGCTAGAAGTTGCTGCACAATTAAGTTCTAGACAATGAAATGAAATAAAAATGAGGCATAGAAGTTTCCAGGAAGTCAGGCTCGCTCTTTCCCCTTTTGCTTCCTGGTGTACAGAATGAGGAGGTAATGGCTGGAGCTACCTCAGTCCACTGGGCCATAAAGTAACTTCAAGAATGAAAACCATGCCAAGATGAGCAACAAGTTAGAAGGAGCATGAGTCCCTAATTCCTTTGAGCTTCATGAGTCTTTGACTACATACCTCAAACCTCTTTTTGTGGGGAAGTCGCTGTTTCAAATGATTACTCACATCCAAAACTAATTCCTTTTCTTTTCAAGTCTGAGAAATTGAACAAAACTATTATAATTTGTATGCATATACTTCCATCTTTCGAAAAATTGGAAGATCGCTCACCCTTGGGCCCTTGGCTGCTTGGCCACATCTGGCTGGAGTTGATGAGTCTGCATTGGCTATAGCTGGGGGGTCTCAGATTGTGATGGTCCCTACCACTTATTGTGGCTTACACACGGTAACCTCCCCATTTCTGTTACCTGCCAGAACCTAGAGACATTTGAGCTTGTAACTCCTGCTCCACTTTATGTTCCCAAGCATGTTGTCTTTACACTCTTTTCAGGAGTCATTAAGATACACAAGGTCATATTCTTCTGTTTCACCAGTCTGGGAAGTGGCTAATCTCAGGAGAATTTTCTGAGCAAATTATGAATATTATCTAATATTTAAAATCATGCATTCACTTAACTTATTTATTTAATCCAAATGTATTTACTGAGACTCTTCAATGTGCCAGAAGTTGGGATGTGGTGAGAGATACCACAGATATGGTCCCTACCCTCATGGAGATGGCAAAATAGTAGAGGAAACAGACAATAACAATGTAAAGAAATAAGTTATTACAGTAACTTAAGATGGGGATAAATGCTGAAAAGAATGTTAACAGGAGAATGAGCTGGACAGAAGCAGGAATGGAAGCAGGAGACCGTTTAGGAGGCTACAGCTATAACCCTGGGAAGAGATGTCAGTGCAAGGAATAGGGTAATGGTTGCAAAGATGGATGAAAATAGATGGATGCTGAGAACATTTTGGAAATAGAAACATTAGGACTTGCTGATGGACTGGGTGTAGAAAGTGAAGTCAAGGGAGAAATCAGGGTGATTCCTAAGTTTTTTGATTTGAGCAACAGGGTTCTTGGCAAGATAGGGGAAAACGGGGCGGGAAAAGTTTTTTTGGGGAGGCAGTGAAAATCAAAAAGAACCATTTTAGACCAATTAAGTATGAAATAACCAAAGGGAGGTGTCCAGCAGGGAACTGGATGTACGAGTCTAAAGTTCAAGGAATTGGTCAAGGGTGGAGCTGTGCATTTGGGGGTCATCAACACATGCAAGATATTTAATGGCACAGGAGTTAGTTCACCTGATGAGAAGCTAGTGAGGGAAGTCCAGGGCTGTGCCGAGAGACACTCCAACATTCAGAGAGTTGGTGGTGGAGGAAGAGTCAGTAAAGGGTACTGAGAAGTGCTGAGGCAGTTAGGAAGAAAACAGGGAGCTCATTTACTGAAGCCAACATTTAAAAAAAGGTTTCATGAAGGGAGAAATGGTCAGTCATGGTGAATGCTGCCAAAAGGTGAAATCACGTGAGAACAGAGATGTGACTCCAGCTAGCACCATGAAGGTGACTGGTGATCTTAACAAGAACAATTCCAGCAGAGAGTGGTCACAGAGCCAGACTACAGAGGTTGATGACTGGAGGGGTGGTGAGGAAGTGGAGAGAATGAAAAAAAACAAACTGTCTTTTGAGAAATGTTGCTATGAAACAAAGCAAAAAGAGGCCAGCAATTGGAGAAAGGGACAGGTCAAGGAGAAGTCATAAAAAGTGTGACATAGTAGAGTATATTTCTCAACAATTGCAAGGATTCCTTAGGGTGAGGTTGAAGCTGGAAGGGTGGGGCATTATCCATGGAGTAAAAAAGTCCTTGAGGAAGTGAGAAGAGAACAGATCCAGGGCGCAGGTAACCACATTGAAATTTAAAACCTCTGTATGATAAACATCCACATAAAGATGAATGATAGTCTATTAGAAGATATCTACAGCCCATGTATCACAGAGTTAGTATAGTCATATACATTTAAACAAATGAGAATTTCATAAGCAAAAGACAAATGACCAAGAGAAAATAACATGAACAGGCAGGAGGAAAGTTGAATGGCCAATAAAAATATAAAAAGATCCTCAGTGTCATCAGTAATTAGGCATATGTGGGTTAAAAAAAAAAAAAGATGCCACTTTTTTACCTGATTAGCAAAGTTTTTAAAATGTGATAATATCAGTGTTGGGAAGGGTGTGGGAAAGAAGTAATGTCACACACTGCTGGTTGAAATGGAATTAGTGATACTATGTTGGATGGTGTAGGGCAGACAAAGCTTTACCTCTACCTTCATAGGAACCCCAGCAGGGCCTGAGAATTAGATTGGCATAAAACAGACTAGCAGGAGAGGAACATACAGATTTATTTAATTTTAAGTTTTATGTGACTTGAGAGACTTTATAAAGAAATGACTGCCCAAGGAAGTTGCAAAATCTCAATGCTTTCCTACTATGTTGCACAAAGTGAGGCAATTGTGAAAAAGTAATTAAAATATACAGGAAAGCTAAAGAAAGATAAGAGTTGTTTTAACAAAATTCGATTGTTTACAGAGAATTTTCTCTGTCTTTGTTGATAAAAATATTTCTTTCCTCCTGATACAAAGCAGGCATCTTTTACATGGGAGTTTTATGTGCTTTCAGGAAAAAAAGAAGTCAGAAAGTTCTGCTTGAAGAACTGAGCACTTGGCTCATACCTGTAATCCCAGCACTTTGGGAGGCTGAGGCGGGAGGATCACTTGAGGCCAGGAATTTTAGATCAGCTTGGGCAACACAACAAGACCCCAACTCTACAAAAAGAAAGAAGAAAGAAAGAGAGAAAGAGAGAGAGAGAAAGAAAGAAGGAAAGAAAGAAAAAGAAAGAAAGAAAGAAAGAAAGAAAGAAAGAAAGAAAGAAGAAAGAAAAGAAAGAAAAGAAAAGAAAGAAAGAAAGGAGGGAGGGAGGGAGGGAAGGAAGGAAGAGAGAGAGAGAAAGAAAGAGAGAGAGAGAAAGAAAGAAAAAGAAAGAAAAGAAAGAAAGAAAGAAAGAAAGAAAGAAAGAAAGAAAGAAAGAAAGAAAGAAAGAAAGAAAGAAAAAGAAAGTTAGCCAGGCATGGTGGTGTGCATCCACAGTCCCAGCTCCTCAGGAGGCTGAGGCAGGTGGATCACTTGAGCCCAGGAGATCAAGGCTGCAGTGAGCCAAGGTCATGCCACTGCACTTCAGCCTGGGTGACAGAGTGAGACTTTGTCTCAAAAAAAAAAAAAAAAAGTTTTGTTTGCACCCGCTTTTTAAAAGTGCTTTTAGCTCAAAATAACCCTTATGCCAAAATGGCATATTCTGGAGAGGCATATTCTGTCACTCTTCAATGTCAATTTAGCCAACTTATTCAAATTTAAAATGTGTATATTATTTGGAAAAAACAATCCCATTTTTAAATATATACCTGTAAAGGGCTGAACTGTGTCCCCCCCAAATTCAAATTCATATTTGAAATCCTAACCCCCAATACCTGAGAATATGACTGACTGTATTTTTATATAGTGTCTTTCAGGAGGTTAAGTAGGGTAAAATAAGGTCATGTAGATGGGCCATAATTCAATATGACTGGTGTTCTTACAAGATTGGGAGATTAGGACAGGCACACACAGAGGAAAGACCCTATGAATTCAAAAGAGAAAATGGTCACCTACAAACCAAGGAGAGAGGCTTCAGAAGAAACCAGCCTTGCCTCAGACTTCTAGCCTCTAGGACTATGAGAAAATAAATTTTT